GTATTTTTATTAGAGACAGGGTTTTGCCATGTTGCCTAGGCTGGTCTTGAACTCCTGGACTTAAGCGTTTTGCCTGCCCTGACCTCCCAAAGTGCTGGGATTATAGGTGTGAGCCACCACATCCAGCCTATTTTTAAAAACTCTAATATTTTTACTGGTGTACTTTATTGAACTGACAGAGAATAGTTAAAAATAAAGAGAGGCCAGGCATGGTAGCTCACACCTGTAATCCCGGCACTTTTGGGGGCCGAGCTTGCAAATTGCTTGAGGCCAAGAGTTTGAGACCAGCCTGGCCAACGTGGCAAAACCCCATCTCTACTGAAAATACAAGTATTAGCTGGGTGTTATGGTGCACACCTGAAATTCCAGCTACTTGAGAGCTGAGGCAGGAGAATCACTTGGACCTGGGAGATGGAGGTTGTGATGAGCCAAGATTGTGCCCTCCAGCCTGGGTGACAGAGTGAGACGCTGTCTCAAAAACAAAAAGAAGTTTAAAAATACAAATTACCAAAATATTGTAGTTTGCTGTCACTGCTATTCACCTTTTCTTTTCTTTTTTTTTTTTTTTTTTTGAGACGGAGTCTTGCCCTGTTGCCCAGGCTGGAGTGCAATGGTGCAATCACAGCTCTCTGTAACTTCCACCTCCCGGGTTCACGCGATTCTCCTGCCTCAGCCTCCCGAGTAGCTGCGATTGCAGATATGTGCCACCATGCCCAGCTAATTTTTGTATTTTTAGTAGAGACATGATTTCACCATGTTGGTCAGGCTGATCTTGAACTCCTGACCTCGTGATCTGCGTGCCTTGGCCTCGCAAAGTGCTGGGATTACAGGCGTGAGCCACTGTACTTGGCCGCTATTCACTTTTTCTTAGCCTTTTGATTACTGATGAACTAGATGAGAACAGTAAATGGATTGTTACACTTGACATTTCGTACTTTATCTGGAAATATTGGCATTAAAAACGAAGTCATACTGCCATTTGCATAATAATCTTAGATCTTTATAGGAGTTTTTTCTTAAAATAAAAATTCTGTGTTTTTAAATGTCTTTATTTGATAAGACTGTTTAAAATGTCTGCTATTTTTCTAAAACAGAATTAGGAAACTTCTGGCCCCAGCATCAGAATAGACCCCTGATTTCGTTTCCTCTGACCTTTGGAAAACTGTTCTTTTGGTATTAATGCTATATGCAAGAGCACCTTATAAGGTGCTCTGGTTCTTTCAGAATGGAGCATGAACACTGGAGAGTTAGTGTCAATGTTCAGTGGATGTCTTTTGTGAGCTGTGGGTTACATTTTGATGCTTACAAACCACATAAATGAAATGAAGAATTAATAATTAAGTTATGAATAAGACACTAAAATTCAGTTTCGATATAGGATCAAAATTACAAACCTGGCAAGCACCAAAATCCAAGAACAGATGCCTAAAGTGGACGGTGTGAAACAGAATTTAGGGTCAAATTTCCGTAAGATACATATACACCATAGAATACTATGTAGCCATAAAAAAGAACAAAATCATTTCCTTTATGGCAACATGGTTGTGAAACCCCATCTCTACTAAAAAAAAATTAGCTGGGTGTGGTGGCATGTGTCTGTAATGTCAGCTACTTGGGAGGCTGAGGACACAGTTTTGTTCTTTTTAAAGGTTGCATAGCATTCCATGGGGTATAGGTGTCTTGTGGAAATTTGATCCTCAATTCTGTTTCACACAGTCCACCTTAGGCATCTGTTCTTAGATTTTGGTGTTTGCCAGGTAATTTTGATCCTATATCATAAAGTGATTTTTAGTGTCTTCTTGGTCATACCTTAGTTCTTAATTCTTCATTTTCTTCACCTGATTTTTAGCTTGTATTTCTTCCCTTGGTGTCATCCAAACCATCAGCAAGTTGTATTAGCATCAACATCAAAATAGAGTTACCTGTAGAATATTTTAATATGGTGCTTAGCAGTGATGTTCATACTGGAAAAATTTAACAAAACAAAGTGCAGAAAAAGTCTCAAGTTGCACACCGTATACAAATGCTAGAACATCAGAATCACTTGGGAACATTTTGATGTCAGCAAAGTGTGTATCTAAGATGTTGCTAACGCTGAGACATGAGGTATCATACTGCTTTTTCTACACACACAAAAATCTGTTAATCATACTGTTTAGTGGCTACTAAGTGATATTTTTGGTATTTTCCATTTTTTTAATATGAAAGGTTTGTTTTCATATATTGGCATTTTCCTGAGTTTTAGAACTAGTTATTTAGGAAATCAGCTGGCAGGGCAAAGGGTTGAGTGGCATGTCATGCATTATTTTAAGACATTGGAGGACAGGTTCCTCTTGAGTATTTTCATGCAGAACACCTGATTTTAGAAATACGTTATGGCCATTAAGTAGGAAATCCTTCTGTCTCCAAATCTGACCACTTACCACCACTACTGATAACACTACCCTGGTCCATGGATCTACCATCTATTCGCTGAATTCCTGTAATAAGCTCCCTGTAAGCTCCCTGTTTCTACCTCTGTCCTTTCCAGTCTGTTCCCAGCATAGCAGGCAGAAATGAACCCTCTGTAAATGTCAGTTCACTTTAGTCCTGCACATCGTATACCGGAGTAGCTCTCCATTTTACTCCGAGAAAAAGTCAAACTTCATTCATTGGCCCACATTTTCTTTTCCTGTATCTCTGTGATATAGATCATAATCTGAAATGAAACTGTGTATTCCTTAGTTGGATTTTTTGAGTAATGTTTCATGTTTTCTATCTTAATTTTAAAAGCACGTAAGTTGTCTTCCTTTAAAAGAAAAATTATTGATTTGTATGTGATTTTAAAAATTCTTTCTGCATTTAATGGCCCTCACCCTCAGGAAACAGATACCCCAATTTAAATGTTTCCTCATTTCTGAAATGAAGATAAAAGTATCTACCAGTGGTACCTGCTTACCTCAAAAACCTCTATTGCCTTTTTTTCTCATCACATCTTTACATATTTACAGAAACCGTTGTTTATCTCAAATATGCTGGGACATGTTTAAAATCGTTTTAGCTATTCTGATCGTGGCTGAATGGTTTGTTTATAGATTTGCAAGCAGATTTCAAATAAAAATTCATCCTAGTAAGATAAAACAAAAATAAAAGTAAATTATTTTTGTTAAGGAAGATCCTTCTCTGTGTTGGGGTCAGGTCAGGGGAAGACTGTAGTGTGATTAATCTAAACTTAATTTTTATATGGAACCTAAAATTTGCAATCTGTTTTTCTCACATCCTGTGGCTTTTCAGTTTTCTTTAGTAAGTTTTTTACACATGTGGATTACCCAGCTACATTTTTTAGTATGATGATTTATAAGTATTTCTTTATAGCATGTTTTCCAAACATATACACACACACACACACACACACACACACACACACACACACATACATAAAATATTTACATATTTACTTTTTACATGGTTTGGCTTTTTTATTTCTGTGAATTCATTTCCATCTCAGGTAATTTATGGCATTATCTAAAGCTTAAATTTATGTTTGAAGTCTTCACTTTTCCAGAACTCTAATTCAGATATTAATATATTATTATAGATATTTGTTAATAATTATTAGCAAGTTTATCTCATCACAATTTGAAAACCGGTGTGTAAGAACATCAGACAGTATGGACTCAGAGTGTTAGCATTACTTGGAAAACTTTCAGAATAAATTTAAAAATGAAGTCTCATTTTCAATTGATTAAATTTTCATTTTTGCTCCAATAATTCAAGAAAAGTAGACAGGCCAGATAGGCAGACCTGTAGAATCCTGGGCTTTGTAGTTGGCTGGAAGTTACATAGGTCTTTCATATATGATTTAATAAAAGGTGATACAAAATTCAGAAATGTAATCTATAAGACAATCAGAGAAAAACAATTTTTGAAGCACATTCTTGTCAGTATTCCATAATGCCTGTTCTGTAACTGTAATTTTTTTGTGTATCTGTCAGATAATGTAAAGCTATATTCAATAATGAGGATAGTAGGAATTTGAGACCCCATGTTGCTTTCTTTTTGTGACAGGAAGGTCAGCCTTTTAAAACACACACACACACAGACACACACACACACACACACACACACAAAGAAATGGAAATTAACATTTCTCCAGAATTATTAAGTTTCCCGTCATTTTAGGTTATCTCTTAATTCCAGCATTTTACTGTATTTGATAAATAGGCCAAATATGTGTTTTATTTATTTGGGGGCTTGTGGGAGGCAATGAAACTTTACAAATTTCAACTGACACTGCACTCTGCTGATAAGGATGGGAGTTTGCACCGCTCTGAAGAGATTACATGAAGCAGAATTGGAAAGCAAATTGTATTTACAAAAGATAGGATGATGTTCCTAATAGGTGTTCAGAATAGACTATTCACTCTCATATTCTGCTGAGCTTTACTAGAAATAACTTCATTTCAAAAAGGACAAATCTCACTGAAGGTAAAAGCGTTCCCTCTTCACAGATACTTGTCCGAAAGGGTTTACATTAAATTTTCCTGATGGGCGCACAGCAGTATTTTCTGCTATATCTGTATAAACTATTAATGTGGAAAATAAAATTAAGTAGTATACTTGATTGCTTCATGCACCAACCATTAGATTACTAGATTTCTATCTACAGTTTTGGGAGAGATGTTGGAATATGATGTTCTGACAATAACTGTCAAAGTCATCGTACCAAGATCTGTTTTCATCTTGTTGGTGAGGTAAAGTTATTAAAATGCACAGTTGGTAGGTCAGAAAGATCATTGACTATCTCTTGTCATCTGTGGTTTAATGCTGACCTAAACCACTACTGTGTAATGTCAGAATTATCACTGTGTCCAGGCTGCAGAACTATAGCATGCTACATGATTTATTGCATTTCCTGTCTGGAATGAAGATTATGAAAAGGCCCACAACTGTGAGCTACAGTGGTTTAGAAAAAAATTTAATTTCTAATTTTTATTTCTCTTTTTCCTCATTCATTTTAGATTTTGGATTTAGTAAAGGGAACGCATTACCAAGTAGCCTGTCAGAAATACTTTGAGATGATACATAATGTAAGTATATATGTATTTTTTTTACGTTATATCCTAATTCTTTGTCTTTTGTTACAGTGTCACATTCAGGGTTTTTAGTTGCAGCAATGGAAACCACTCTATTTTCAGCAGAAAGGGGGATTGCATGGTGTTAGGTAACTTATAGCATTTACCGAAGGACCAGACAACTAAGCTTGGATGCTGCAAAACCAGGAATATTTTGTAACTAGGAGAAACTACATCGTGAGAAAATCTTGACTGCAGCTGTCACCCACCACTCCCTATCTGAGGATGAGACCAAGGGTCAATAAAGGTTTTCTGTAAAGAGTAGAGTGTAAAAATTTTAGGCTTCACAGTCCATATGGTCTGTGTCACAGCTACTCAGCCTTACTGTTGTAGTGCAAAAGCAGCCATAGAAACATGCAAATGAACGGGCATGACTGTTGATCCACTAGAACTTTATTTATAAAATTAGGTAGTAGACCCAGTTTGACCCATGGCCCTAGATTTGCCAACCTCTAGACTAGATCTGGAACCTCTGCCATAGGTACCTAGAAGAACCAAAGGCTTTTGCAATCTTCCATGCAGAAAATCTGATCATTCATTCATTTAAAGATGGAGTCTTGCTCTGTTGCCCAGGCTGGAGTGTAGTGGTGCAATCTCGGCTCACTGCAACCTCCGCCTCTGGGTCTAAGCAATTCTCCTGCCTCAGCCTCCCAAGTAGCTGGGATTACAGGCACATACCACCATGCCCAGCTAATTTTTTGTGTTTTTAGTAGAGACGGGGTTTCACAATGTTAGCCAGGATGGTCACAATCTCCTGACCTTGTGATCCACCCCCCTCAGCCTCCCAAAGTGCTAGGCTTACAGCTGTGAGCCACTGCACCCAGCCTGCCACCTGATGTTACTGTGATCTACTTCCCAAGTCTCATAGTTATCTGCATGGCAAAACCTAGATTGCATGTGGACCCCTAACTATAAAGGAGTCAGGGAAATGTGTTTGGTTTTTATCTTGGCAGTTTCCTTAGTACAAAAAAACCTGCTTGGTTATTGGAGTAAGTGTGGAATGACCCAGTCTGGCACAGAATAGATTTTGAAGTGTGTAAAGCCAGTGTCACAAACTCAGAGGCCTACAGAGATGGGGCAAATAACCCCAGTAAGTGAAGCTGCCTGAGATTAATATCAGAGAGTATGGTAGAATTATGGTGCACAGAAGACGTTATGCCCTATTAGAGGCATTCACATTGACAAACACTGAAGATGTAATGCCCTGTCAGAGGCATTCACATTGACAAATTGTGATGCCCTCTGCAGGCCCACAACACATATCTACAAGTCCAGTTCTGCCCTCTCTGGCCCCTAAGTTTGCATCCACTGATCTTGAGCCTGGATTTCTAACCTCAGAAAGACATCCAAGAATGGACTTTGGAGATGTTTGTACTTCTTGAAACATTTTGTCTCTAAGTACATATGTGCATTTTTCTGGGGTCCATGGTGTTTATTACAGATCCATGACCCTCCCCGAAAAAGAAGCTGCATTTCTTGAAATCATCATCAGCTGCCATGCTAAAGTTTTACAATTATTTTTATGTTTTCTGTTTAGTTGTTACAAAGTAGTTTTTCTGTTATGGTTATATAATTTTAGAATTTCTTACTTGATAAAATATATCTCATAGGAAAAACCTATTATATTAGCAATAATAATTAAAATAATAAAAGTAATACCAGCCAATATCTACAGAACCCTTAATGCAGTGATCCCCAACCTTTCTGGCACCATGTACCAGTTTCAGGGAAGAAAATTTTTCCATGGACTGACAGGGGCTGGTGGGAGGCCGCATGAGATTATCATGGTAAGCACACAACCTAGATCCCTTGCATACGTGGTTCACAATAGGGTTTGCACCACCATGGCAATCTAAGAAATATGAAATATGAGACCTGCTGATTTGATAGGAGGTGGCGCTTAGGCAGTGATGCAAATGATGGGGAGTGGCTGTAAATAGAGATGAAGCTCCACTCACCAACTGCACCATCTTCTGCTGTGCGGCCCAATTCCTAACAGGCCTTGGACTGGTACTAGTCTGTGGCCAAGGGGGTCAGGAACCCCTGCCTTAATGTGTACCAGGCACAGCACTAAAATTTTTGAATGCATTAATTAGCTCTTTTGATTGACACTACAGCAAGATACTATACGTATATATCCCTGTCTGTGAATAAAATTTGTTAAACAACCTGTGTAGGGTCATATTACTTATAGCAAATGGAACTTAGATTTAAATTCCAGCCGTCTAACTCACCTAAAGCTTGTGTGCCTAACGATGACTGTGCTGCCCTATGGTATTTGGAACTAAATTTGTTATAATGACAGTAGAGGTAATTGGCATTTTCCTGTTTATCTTCATAGCATGGTAAACATGGAGGGACTTTACAGATCTTCTGATCCAACCATACCAAAAACAACAGATGCCTAACTTGCCTTACATGCTGTAATTGGTCAATAGAAGATCTACAGCTAGAACCCCAGTCTGTTGTGGGTTCTTGTCCTCTTTCTTCTACACCTAACTTTTGAAACTGTTATTCTTATTTAAGAACTTTTTTTAAACAAAATTTCAAGGAGTAAACATCAAGAAAATAGTAAGCAACAAAAAACCTCGTTATTTTTATCACAGTAGGAATCTCGCCAGATAAGCCATGTTTGCTATTCTCAACACCAGGTTTGAATGACTCACTCTCTCGAAGACTGCATTCCTTAATTTGCTTGGTCAGCTTGGGAGTTGTAATTTCATATGTGTTCTTTTAGTCATTTGGGACCCTTTTAATTAAGAGGCCTCAGAACTTTCACAAATAAGGTCTGTTATCCAATCTCTTTCCTTTTTATAAGAATAAAATAGGAAAATTAGATTTAAACATTGAGTTTGTGGTATAATCACCAAAAAGTAAGGTGTGGTTTTTCTTTTAGTTCTCAAGTCTGCTTCTGTATTATCTCTCCTATTGATTATTCCCACGTGTATTGCTACTATTGCCAATTTTTAAAACTTGTCTTCGATTAATGAAGATATTGGAAAGTTGTATATCTAAATCCCCTCACATACAGAAATAGTCTAACTTAAACCATGTATAAATCAACAAAATAAAAAGGCTATTTATATTCACTAGCTCTCTATAGATTTTTAGATGTGAATATCCTCCTTCATTTATGATTTTTTCTAATTTAATTTAAAAATGGAATCTGTTTTAATTGTCAGGTTTCTGCCATCCTAACCTCTCCCCCAAATAAAACTTTATGTTTATTTTCCCGAAGCCTCTGTGATCAAACTCACTTAAATGAAAGTTTTGAAAATGAACCAGTTAATTGATACCATTTGCAGCAGCACTATGATAGTTCCATATGGCTTTTTTGGTAATACCAGCTGCCTCATTATAAGCTGTCATTGCAAAACCTCTTGATTAAAACCCAAATATCCCATAGGTAAAACAATATTGCTTTCATTCCTTCAAAATCTACATTTGCAGTGGCAGAAATATGAGACCCAAGTTTGTGTCAAGGTCACTGTGTGCAGAATGTGCTGATTCTAACCAAATGTTTGAGAGAGATTCATTTAGTAGATTTCAAAAGCTGGCCTGCTTGAAATCTGTTTTCCTCTGTATTTTTAGGGTCAGTGTTTAAGATAATTTTATGCTAATAGTATATTCTTTACTTTCTGCTTGTTCCACGTATAAATGAAAACGTTAGGCTAACCACTCAATTTTAATAGAAAATAATGTTTTCAGAGGTAGACCCCTTTGGACACTGAGAAACTGGGTACTTACTTTCCAAATGGCTGAGCATAATTTTTCCCTACCATATAAATCTCTAGAGAAATCTTATTAAAACCTATCACAGTTTCCTGCAATCTTAAACAGGATATATGCAATACAATTAAGCCTTTTTATAATAACTCAGGGTCATCATTATGGATATCAGTTAGAATGCTGGGCTAGAAGCCACCATCATCTCACTTGGATCGCTGCAATAGCGTCCTAACTCATTTCCCAGCATCTACGCATGCCCCATTCCAATTCTTTCTCCTCCACACAGCTGCTGAAGTGATCTTTAAAATAGAGGAATCTGATCATTTCAGTAACCTGCTTTTTAAAAACCTTTAATGGTTTCCTATTTCTCTTAAGATGAAATCTAAAATTTATAATGTATCCATTCCACCCACCTTCCTCTAGATCCCTGAACATGTTTCAGATCCTTTACAGGACTTTGGATCTGAAACACTATGACCAAGCGAGTGTGGTAGAATGCAAACACTTCACAGAATTTTCCTGTCTCAATACCTAAAATAAGGCACAAAACGTAATTTTAAAAATCAACAACCATAAAGACAAACATCACTGATAGCAACCAAAAAAGAAAAGGGGCAAGGAAAGAAACACAAGTCGTAGTAGACAAAGTCATGAAAATGCTCACTTAATATTTCCAAACAAGGAGTAAAGGAAATAGCTGCTGACTCGAGCAGAAATAAGTGAAATGGAGGATTTAGATGTGGATGCCTCTTTTTCGCTCTTCCTTTATCTAATTCTATTTAGTTTATGCTCTTCCCCTTCCCCCACACACAGAAAACCCCTAAGTTTATTTTTCTAAACAAGACAAAAGGAAACTGAGTGACAGCCATATACACTTCCTTTAAAAATGAAAGAAATGCTCAGAACACAAATAACTCATCCTAGAAGAAAACAGAACTCTATAAAAAGGAAACTTCATAATCTCATTTTGTTATCAAGCAACTTAATAGATCACAATGAGCTTAAAAAAATTAGTTAAGGACAACTGCAGATCAAGAAAAAGGAGAAACAGCATCACAAAGCCATGGCACAGATGGCCCTTGGCACTGTTTTAATAGTTAATTAAAAATATTAATTAAAATGGGGATTCATTAAACATATGCACATACCTTAAATATGGTATCTTGAAGTTAAGACGCTTAAATGGCATTTATTTGTTAGGGCAAGGTATTTTGAGCATAGTATAGTGCTTGGAATTTGATTTTATCTTTCTCTCATAAACAGTACCCATAATACAGCATCAACAATTTCCAACTTGGATTCCTTAAAGTAGAAAAGGAACTTGATATATACAAAGCAATAGGATCTTTCTCCCTACCCTCCTATGAATTCAACTTCTTTTTTTAAAAAGTAACTTGCCTTTCTTGAGTCTTTAAAAAGCATTTAATTTGGATTTCATAGAACTAAGAACTCTATTTTACATTCATATTTCTTTGCTTTTCCCATGGCAACCCTCTGACCTAACACTATAATTATCTCCATTTCATAGATGAAGAAACTCAGACTTTAAAAAGATTATCCTATTTCATTTTGTCCACATTGAAGTCTAATAAATGTATTGAAAACTGACAACTTGAAGCAAGGTGTAGAAAATCCCCAACATATTATTATGGCATAAGGTTTTAGGTTATTTTTCATAAGATAATACAACTATGTTTTTATAATCTTTATAGCCAAGTTTATCTCTAGAAATAAAATTTATAGTGGGAATATCATTATCAGTTTGATTTTGCATACAATCTCTTAAAACAGATTTCAGAGCAACTAATGACCTAGTCAAAAAGCCTGAATATTAAATCAGACAAAACCAGTTATTAATTCCATGACTGAATAAATTCCTTAGGCCTCTGTACATGGAGGAGATTCAATTTAATGGACTCCCCAAGGTCTTTCTAATCTCTAATTTTCTGTTTACAATCTATAAAGCCTTCTGATTAAAATGTATTAGACAATAAATTTACTTTTTGTGAAACACATTGCAAAATGCAAAATTTATATTGGATTTCCCAGTTTTTATTGAATGGGGTGAATATAGAATATAATAAAGAAGTTCATAAATGATCCCATTGTTAATAATATACAACATTCAGGAAACATTTTGAAGTCAAGCAGCTAAGTTAAAAAGAAAAAAGCAAAATAAAAATTTTTTCTTAACGATCTGTAACTTGTAAAATCAGTCTCTGTACTATCCATCAGTTACACACTGGAATTATTGTAAAATTATCAGCCTAACATGTATTAACAACTGGCAAAAAAGAATCTGAGATTCCTGGGATGCTTAAATAAGTATTAGCAGAAAAGACGTGTCTCTGTCTGTTGGTCTGTCTACCAGTAGGGTTCATGCCGGACCATAACAGCAACCCCCTTTTCCCTGGCCAATTGATTTTAATCTACTATAAAATTATACATAGTTTTAATCGTGCCGCATCTCTGTTTAAGGGTTTTTCATGACTCTTTGTTGCATAGAGAATTAGGTCTTGACCACTTATCCTGGTTTTCAAGGCCGTCTCAGGCTAGCCCCGCCTGTCTTTCCAACCTCATTCCTTATTGTTTTTTTGTATGTGCCTTTCATACCAAGCTATGTGAACTATTTATTATTTGCTTTCCCAGGGCATTACCTCTTTACCATGCTCACGTGGTCCTGCTGCAAATATTTCCCTTCCTCTCATCATCCCAGCTTTTCACTCTCTCCGTCTTTCCAGAACCAACTCAAATAGCACTTCCCTGTCAAAGCCCTCCTTGATCTCCCCAGCTGAAATTTCTCTCTATCATAGAGTGTAATAGGCCTTTATCTGTGACCGTTATCACTTCTCCATTCTTGGTAGAAGTTTTTAAGTATATGACTTACTGAGCTGGAAATTTGAGTTAGTCAAATGCATTCCTGTATGCTGAAAAGCAAATAGCTTATAACACAGTCTTTAATATAGTAAGTCTTTAATTAAATATGCAGAATTATCACTGGTATACACTATTTCTGGGTTCACCTCACCAGATATTTACTAGATACCTACAGTGTGCAAGTCATTACAGTACAAAGGGTGAAATGTAAAAAGATTAGTTAATACAAGACAGATGAACAAAACAAATGGAATGACTTCTCAGTCTCCAAAAACTTGATAAATGAAAATACCGTCAAAGAAACCCATCCAACCAGTCACTCACTTAAGCAAAATGATCTTTTTGTTGTCAACTCCAGCTGCAGAAGGCGGAAATGCAGGGATTTGAGACTGTAGAAGGCAAAACTGCATGTAAGGAGAGATGCTACAGTGATAATTTGAAATGATACTCAAAATTAAAGTTTAATGATAGTCTTTGTAAAAAATAACAAATTATGAACTAGGCATGTTTGTGTTCAGTCACAGTGAAAATTACAAGAAGAGATTTAATATAAAGAGACCAAGGAAAGGCCAAGATTAGAATGAAGAATTACACTGACTTAGATTGCTTTTTCAGTTTATATCATACTAAATGAGATTGTATATGCCAGACTTACAAGTAAGTTCTAAAACACAAGTGCTATCAGGGACCAGTATCAAAATGATCAAAAGTGATTTTACGATCACTTAAACCCCACAAATATTTATTGGCCTCTAATGTGGTAGGCCTTTTGCTTGGAACTGGGGATACAATAATGAATCACACAGGTCCCTAATCTGTGCCTAACACGCAATGTCACACACACACACACACACACATACACACACACACACACACGTTTGTATTTCAAACATATGTTTATGGTTTTCTACTTTTTTTATTTGGAGGTAATTGTCAACCAGAATTGGTAATGGTTTGGGTATTGCCAGAACGGAGGGCATGGTGTAGATGGGGGTGGGGGTTGGCGGGGGCGGGGGTGAGAGAAAGGTGTCTAGTATTCCCCAAGGGTGAATGGTGATTCCAGTCCCTGAAAGCAAAGGTTGGGCAGAGGGGCAAGGACATGTTTCCTATTGGGTTGAGCTGCCTTTGAGCCATCTTAGATGTTGAGTAGGTGTTGGATATGGGACTGAAACTAGATAGGGAACTGGAGCCAAACACAGGCTCAGGCTAGAAATATAAACGCAGGAACCTTTAATGTTTGGGTAGTGGTTAACACTATCTTTGAATGAAATGGTGTAAGTAGTGAATTAAGTGTTAGAATGTGAACAACCAGAATCCATGTTTCAGGTATTAAGTTTTGAACAAGGACTAGAACAGTTTTTGAAACTCATGTGTTCATAGTTTTGCTATATATTAATGCAATATAAATTTCCTTCCTCGTACAGGTGGATGATTGCGGCTTTTCTTTGAATCATCCTAATCAGTTCTTTTGTGAGAGCCAACGTATTCTAAATGGTGGTAAAGACATAAAGAAGGAACCCATCCAACCAGAAACTTCTCAACCCAAACCAAGTATCCAGAAAACCAAGGATGCATCATCTGCTCTGGCGTCTTTAAATTCCTCTATGGAAATGGATATAGAAGGACTAGAAGATTACTTTAATGAATGATTTTTAGGCAATTTAGTAACCCTTTTTCCTCAATAGCTTTCATTTCCTGTTTGTAAGATTTCACCTTCTTTGTAACTGAAAAAAGATTTCACTCTGTCACCCAGGCTGGAGTGCAGTGGCACAGTCACAGCTGATTGCAGCCTTAACCTTCCCAGCTCAAGTGGTCCTCCTGCCTCAGCCTCCTGAGCAGTTGGGACCACTGATGTGTACCCCATACCCAGCTAATTAAAAAAAATTTTTTTTTTGTAGAGATGGAGGGCTCCCTCTGTTGCCCAGGTAGATCTCAAACTCGGGGGCTCAAGCGATCCTCACACCTCAGCCTCCCAAAGTGCTGGTAATACAGGTGTGAGCCACTGTGCCTGGCCTTTTTCTTTTTTTAATCTTTTTGTTTAACTTCTCTCTTTACTGCATTCCAGTCCATCTACATGTATGCATACATTTATTAGGAAAGCAGGTTTGAGGTAAAAACAAAGACCTTCACTGTATTTTGCTTTGACAGAAGAAAAGAGGAAGAGTTTCTGTTAAAATCTATCAATCACTTGAATGGTGCCATTTAAGTCCTGTTCTAGGAGATAAAAATAGCTTTGGGGACTGGTTAAAGTCCCCCAGAAACTGTAATAAAGTTAAGAACAAATTTGATTTTAAGTCTTATCACTTTGTAATTTTGACTCAGTCCTTTTCTGGACCATTTTTGTTAATATCAAAGTGTACATGACAGTGTTTGTGTATAATTGGGAGAGCGTATTATGTCATAACAGATTGGACATTACCTCAGCTTTTAAAGTAGTAATTTGGAATATCCAACACACTGCTAATCACCAATGAAGATTTTAAATGTTTTTCTTTCTTTTTTTGGCCTACTTGTGGTTATTGTACATCAGGCACCTTTGAGAGGCAGCAAGCTCTCCTGAGTGAACTGTGTCTTGGGAATTAAAAGAAATAAGAGTTTGTATAGCTTATATTTATTAAGGAATGACAGGAATATTTTATTATGTAAAATAATGGCACACCTTGTCTGCTGCCATTACTCTGGGGGCAGGTTCCTGAAGAATGGACAATTACCAAGCAAGAAGGTTGTACATCTAAAGTGTTTATTTTACCATCCAACTTCCATACCTTATTACTCCTGTAGTTGTTGTCAACTACCAAATAGATTCAGTAAATTAACTTCAATAATGAATATTCTGATACTTATAGTAACCGCCTCCTTTCAGTGCCAGCAATAGAATTTAACAAATGTGGATGATTACAGACATATGGGATCAGTGCCCTGTTCTCTCTGCCAAGGAGGTAAGTTGAGGTTGATGGTCCCTGGCACGTACGCCTTGTAGGGCAGTCGTGGTTGCCCTTGTCTAACTAAGGATTTCCTCCCGGGACTCTCCTCACTCACCAAGAGGATTTGGGGTGCTCAGGAAATCCGGTTTGAAGCATAGTTCTTCCTCATCTGTTACCTTGGAGTGTGTGAAAAATATTAGTCTATTTCTGTCTTCTTTTCCTGTAAAGAGGGATACTTATTTTATCCTTTTGAATCAGATACTAACTAAATTGAAAAGAGGACACTGTATCAGAAAACTAGACTGTTAGAAGCACCATGTTTTCAATCATGTGATAAACCATCAAGATGAAAAGGATTAAATAGCATCAGATCATCAGAAACTAAAAATGTCAACTAATTGAGTTTTTATTTTAGGCTTCTGAGTCAAAAATTTCTTGGAATATTTAGCAACATATAGTTAAATGAGATACTATCTAAACTTTCACTTGTCTTGGTGAATTATTATTACCTAGTTCAGAAAATAGTATTATTCCACTACAAATTACACCTATAAATCTCCGCCTTCTGAAACCATCTGCTACTCCCTTCATCATTTGTAGTTCTCAACAGGAATCTGATGATGGCCTACCACTTGATCCATGGACTGCAAAACCACAAGTCCTTAAAAAAAAGAACAAATGCTACCTGGAGTTGTTTTAACCACAGAATTAAGTTAGCTTTAGAAAGCCAAGCATAGAAATGTAGGTCTTCATTGTATTAAAAGGGAGATATTAGAAGCACTCTCGCCACTGTAGTTCAATGAGAAATTTTATGATAGAATGTTTTGTATCTGGTAACGTTTAGCAAGGCTGTCTTTTTCTACTGCTTCATGTTCTCCTTTTATGAAGCCTGTGCTCCCACCAGCTGAAAGGACAGGGTCATTAACGGCATGGTAGATGTAGCTTAGGGGACTATTGATTTTATACTGGCAGCCCCAGGAATTTGTGTCATCCTACTTGAATGTTTTATATGTGTCTGGTCCAACTCCAAAATAACACTAGTTTAAATATTAGTTGTTTTACAGGTTCAATTTATTCATAATAAGGTTTGATCTCCTGTCACGTATTATACAGAAGAATATACAAACATTCTGTGAAGTCTATAGATTAGAGGATAGGGGATAGAGGTTTATAAAAGAAGATCTAAATTAATGCTTTTCTGGTGCTTTTGGAGCTGGAAAAAGCAATTTATTTTTCATGCTTCACAGGTCTTGACAATTTTGATTTGTTTTCTTAGAAAGCAGACCTGTTTGAATTGGGTGATGTAGAAAAGAACCCAAAAGAAAAATCAAAAGCCAACAGCCTCTTTTCAAAACAGTAGCCAGTGAAAAAGAATATGAGTCTTCCAGATCTTTTAACTTTTAGTCTTTTATTATCTCTTCAAGAAAGAGAGGCTGTATGATTATCAAAGACAAAAGAAGAAACAGCAGAAGAAAGAAACTAGGTTGGGAATTTGTAGCTGGTTGATGCAATGACATTGTTAGGAGAGATTCTGTCATATTTCTTTCATGTTGTTTCTCCATAATGTTTTTCATTCTGCCCATACAGTACAAAACTTAATTGCCGTGTACATAAAAGAACACTAGGAAGGTTTTAAGTAAACTTTTTAGGACTGCTTATAATATTATAGAGTCATAAAAGTGAATAGTTATAGATTTTGAAGGAGCTGAGAATGGAATAAAGCAATGGGAAAGATCTTTAATTCACATAGAATTTTAATAAGCTAAGGGATTTCTTCTCTCTCTAAAAGCATGCAGGGTATTTTGCTTGTTACACTTTGCTGTCTTATTGATACTCAGGGTCTTTGCAAGCAAACTTCTGTAATTCTTTACAAAGAAGGAAAGAAAACTTCTGGGATTTAAGCTTGAAAGGCGAAATGAGACAACTCTAAAGTTCTGTTTCAGTTAGAGTCTACTCTTTGCAAATTTAATCAAGGTCTTCCACAGGCATCAGCTTGACATTAAATTTAAGTGCCCATTAAAGTGAGAGTTTGACAGCAATTCTGAATGTAAAGCTCAGTCTGAGGACATCTTTACAGCTGGAAGGAAAAAAAAATGTTGAGAAGCCTCAAACCACTGTGGTAATTAGATCCATTTGTTAACTTCTTTTCTAATGTTGGCAAAGGGAGGGAGAGAAAAGGTTGACAGAAGCTGGAGTCAGGAAGGCAGTCCAGAGCTCCCCATAGAAATTGGGCAAGCACAGGTCCTGTATTGCAGAGAATACTGGCAGATATTCCTTCTGACAAATGAGTGAGATGGGGAAATTATCTTAAGAACTTTATTCGGTTTGTCTTCCTTTCAGCACATAGAGCCGTGCTGTGTGGAAGCTGCATTTTGGATAAGTGTGCTGGTTTGGTTTTAAGGCCCTTAGGAAGACACACAGTGTTATTTAGGAGTGGACCTCTGGTGGTACATTGTTGGCCTGAAGAGTTAACATTTCTCACAAGGGTATCTAACTTATATTCAGGCATAATCACTTATTTACCCAAAGCATCCGGTCTTTTCAGTACTGAGTTCCTTTTGCACAGGTAGCGACTGCCCTAGTCTAAGGCTTCTCACCATAATTGGCATTGCAGGCAATTAGCTTCCTGACTCTGTGGAAATGACGTCACCAGGAGGAAATTATCATCCTACTTCACTGACCTGCCTGCCACAAATGATACTATTTCTTGTTATTGGATTTGCGTTCTATCCGGTAAGCTCTTTTTGTCCATTGCTTCATGACATTTTACTTTTTCCAGGATTACCACTGTAGAACCTTATCAAAGGCTAAAGAATAGGTCTTTATATAAAGCTCCTGCATTTCCCTTGAGCTTTCAATTGCAGTGCTGTTTTTGAACATTGATGGCAAGGGAGTGAAACAACACTGCTAATAAATGTATGATGAGGTTTGCAATGTAACCTTGCATTTCTGGGTATTCATTTGCCACAACATAACTATGAGGCACTTTAAGGTTTTGTTTAGTTTTGTGCTGTAAGCACCGAGAGAAAATAAATTCAACAAATACTGCATTTAAGACTGACCATCTTGTGCACATTTTCCCAATTCCCCCCACACAGCGTTTTTTAGAGATTTTACCTTCTACTTGGGTCATAGGATACCAAGGTCTTCATTACTGATTAAAAATGACATAGTGATACATACTTCTCTTTTCCCATTTATTGGCAAGAATTAAACTGTGATTTACAGAGTGCTCTACCACCCTTAACTCTTGGTTGTCCACAGAGTTCCTGCCTGGTCTTCTTACTTCAAGAGTCTCCCTGAATGAGCTCATTCACCCCCATGGTATTTTTTTTCCATCCATATGCAAATAATCCCCAAATCTGTATCTCCAGCTGAGAATACTCTGAGCACAGACCCATTCATCCAACTATCTCTTGGCTTTCTTTTTATGATATCCCACAAGTATCTCAGATTTAATCTGTTCAAAAATCAAACCTATTTCTTCCAACATCTATTTCTCACCTACATTGTAGAAACCCTAAAGGTAACCCTATTATTTTCCACCTTCTCCATACATCCAAATCCAATTGATTCTGTTTTAATACTAGTATATCTAAAACAGTAGAGCTCAAATGGGGGCAATTCTGCTGTGCAGGAGACGTTTTTGGTGATTACAACTGGAGGAGGGCCTGCTCTCGGCATCTAGTGGATGGAGGCTGAGGATGCTACAAACACCGTGCAGTGCACAGGACAGCCCTTCACAACAAAGAAGTATGTCGCCCAAAATGTGCAGAAACCCTGCTCTAAACGGGTTCTCTTCCTCCCTTCCTTCCTCGTACTACATTAGACTGCCCTCTCATCATTCTAAGCAAAGTGCTCTCGACTTACTGGCCTAGTCTCCATTTGCTCACCCTGAACCCCATCCCATATCCTTCTTCAAAATCTAACCCAAATACTTTTCCCCACTAGGTGTGTGTCTTGAACATGGCTTTCCATTACCAATATGAGGAAGTCCAGCCACCTATTATTTTGTGTGTGAGGCCCTCCATGACCTGATTCTGCCTACATCTCCAGTTCCATCTATTGCCATCAGCTCCCTACTCTACAATCCAATCCAGTGATTTAGCCATTTTGCACAAACTCCCTGCACATTCAACTACATGCTCTCTTTCCTCATGTTACCCTACCTGCCTGGAATGCCCTTCCATTCCCTACCATGCTATCAACTGTTTCTCCTCTAATGCTCAGGTTAGGGACATTCTTTCAGCCTTCTCTGTTGACCCCAGTACAGACTCACTGTTCCCTTCAATTCTTGTACCTATCATACTTGAACCTATATGACAGTACTTATAATCATCCATTTATGTATGATTCCCTTCATTACACTGTAAAGTCCTCAAGGACAGAAACGACTTTCATATTTGGACCCCTAATAATTAGCCTTTTCTCTAGTTCTTAGCAACATGCATGACATTCTTATGTACTCAGTAAACACAGGTAGAGGACATGAATGGCTACTTGCTTGTTATACCAACAGAATCTCAAATTCAGTGTTTTTAAAACTTACAAAAAAGGGGTGGAATGGATTCTGGGCCCCAGACTGGAGCCATCACTTACAATCTAAACTTGGGCAAGCTCTTTAATTTTCCATGCTTCATAGATGACATGGGGATAATAATTACACCTACTTCAGGATGATTCTGTCAGCTGCTGTTACATCTACCACAGTCAGAACCCTGTCTGTCACATGGAAACACTTGTGTTATCTGATAATTAACGCTTCCAACAAATGTTATACTGCTATATGGGTCCTCCCTATTTCAGGGGCATTGATTCTGAATATCCCTTACCTGGAGTAATCCTCTTACGTGGACTATACTGTGGTAGATTGTGGGCACTGGGGGAACCCACCAATCAATGTTTTAGCAAAAAGCACTCATGTCAGTGGATCTGCGACCGCCACACCTTTGATACCTCTGTAGCCAGGCAGGATAGACAGGGTATTGCTAACTATGAAACTGGAGGGTTTCCTATGTATGGCATATACTGTGGTATGAAGAGTTCCTCACATGGTGTCACAGAATACATTTTGTTCTTAAAAAGGAAAAACTGAGGCGACTTGAGCTTTGGAATATAGAAATGTCAGTGGGTTTATTTATGACTCCCAATGAAAGCGATACCTATGTCGTACCTAGTCTCCAGGCACTTCAGAAAATACTTTTAGGTAGATCAAATCAGGCACCACCATGGCACTTCTGGACATGGATGCAAATAGTAACCATCTTATTTTTCCTAAAAATGACTCAGAGGCCTGGTGTGGTAGCTCACACCTGTAATCCCATCACTTCAGGAAGTCAAGGTGGAAAGATGACGTGAGGTCAAGAGTTTGAGATTAGCCTGGGCAACATAGTAAAACTGTCTCTACAAAAACAAAATAACAAGCCAAGCATGGTCGCACTCACCTATAGACCCAGCTACTCAAAAGGCTGGGGCAGGAGGCTCTTGAACTCAGGAGTTGAAGGCTGCAGTGAGCTGTGATCTAGCCACTGTGTTCCAGCTTAGGTGACAGAGTCAGACCCTGTCTCTAGAGGAGAAGTAGAGAAATTTAATTCCCTGAGCTGGCTTGATAGATTCTCTGATCAAAGCAGGCACAGTGACTCCTTGGCCTTTGCACTTTTTTCTTCATCACT